TCAGAAAAAGTAATATTGTCTCATGTATATATAAGTGATAAAGCAAATCCAGTAAAATGTTGACAATTGGGGAATATCTGGGTATAATATTTTGTAACTTTCCTGTTTGAAATTTTTTCAAAATTAAAAGTAATGAAAAAAAGGGAATCTTTCTGAGACTATTCTAGTTCAGGGGCTGCCCAGTGAGGTAAGGGGAGGGGAGACAAGTAACAACAAAAAAATTAAACCAAAATCAGATTATTTTCATGTCTAAAATAAATGGGTGATTTACATGTTTAAGGCCAGGAGCAGTGGCTCACACCTGTAATCCCTGCACTTTGGGAGGCCAAGGTGGGAGAACTATTTGAGGCCAGTAGTTCAAGACCAGCTTGGGCAACACAGCAAGTTTCCATCTCTATAAAAAATGTTTTTAATTAGTTGGGCATGGCGGCACATGCCTGCAGTGCTAACTACTTGGGAGGCTTAAGCAGGAGGCACACGAGCCTAAGAGTTCAAGACTGCAGTAAGCTATGATCAGGCAACTGCATTCCAGCCTGGGTGACAGGGAATGACATGACCCTGTCTCAAAAAAATAAGAAGTTAAAATAAAAAAGTAAATACATGTTTATATCTGGCATCTCACGTTTGCCTAATAACTTATTTGAAAATAAGTTTCATTCAGAAAATAGTGGGTTTTTTTTCAAAACAGTTAGCAACCTACACAGATGCCTTTGACCCAGCAATAATCTTTAACCAAAGTATTTACCTCTGTGATTTAGTTTATGCCTGTTGCTATAACAAATTTTTCTATCTTATTTTTCATTTAAAATATGTAAGATTAATAGCTTATTCAGAAACAGATTTCTAGAATAACCAACTCTAAAATATTTTTCTTCCTACTCCTTCACCGTATTACCTCCAAGTTACTCCTTTTTCTGATCCAAATCTACTCCAACCTATGAATCCTTATTCGTTGTTCCTTTTTGCTCTTTCTAAATGAATAAGACTTGACTTAGAAGGGCATTAGATATAGATGAAAAAATACCATACTTGGTAAACTTTTCTTGTCTAACACAATCAGAAATCTGGTTTATTCCATATTCACTTTTTTGATCATTCATGAATTCAACCAATGCTCTTACTGAGGGCCTCCAACATGTCAGGCACTGTTCTGGGTGCTAAAGATACCGAAAAACAAGGGCCTTTTCCTCATGGAATTCAAATTCTAGTTGATGATGGGAAGAGGAAGACAACAAACAAGGAATACATCAGATGGTGACGAGTGCTAGGAAAAATAATTCAAGTAAGGTGATGGGCAGCTAAACCAGGCAGGTATTTTAAATCTGTAGTCAAAGGCCTACCTGAGGGGGTAGGCCTCAGGTTTAACCTGAGACCTAAATGACCAGGAGCCAGCCACACACAAAGCCAGGAAAGAACACTATAGGCAGAAGACCAGCTAGTGCAAAGATCCTGATGCACTGTAGGGCATAGAGAAAGTGGAATAAGCTAAGGTCAAAAGGTAAGTGGGGATTAGATCATGTGGGATCTAAGAAGCCTGCGTAAGTAGTGTGGATGTTATTGAAAGAGAAGAAGGAAGGCTTTGGAGCCATTTAAGCAAGTGAATGACATGAAATGATGAATGTTTAAAAGATCTCTCTGGGAGTTGTTATCCAATCGGTACAGAGTTTCAGTTTTGCTACACGAAAAAGTTTTAGAGATCTGTCATACAACAATGTACATATAGTTAACGCTACTGTACTGTACACATAAAAATGGTTAAGGCAGTGAACTGTATGTGTTTTTTATTGCTTTTTGAGATGGAGTCTCGCTTTGTCACCCACGCTGGAGTGCAGTGGTGCAATCTTGGCTCACTGCAACCTCCACCTCTCAGGTTCAAGCAATTCCCCTGCCTCAGCCTCCCGAGTAGCTGGGATGACAGGCGCCTGCCACCATGCCTGGCTAATTTTTTGTGTTTTTAGTAGAGACAGGGTTTCACTCTGTTGGCCAGGCTGGTCTCAAACTCCTGACCTCGTGATCTGCCCGCCTCTGCCTCCCAAACTGCTGGGATTACAGGCGTGAGCCACCACACCCAGTCCCCTATTTCTTTTTTTACATTTCTATTTTTTACCTTAGTTGGCTCTGCCCAACACGCTATAGAAATATTCTGTTTCTCGATCAGGGTACAGACTAGACAGGTGCATTCAATTTGTAAAAATTCATCATGCTATACACTTAACGTAGGTTTCAGTATATATTATACTTCAGTGAACATTTTTTAAACTTCAGATTTTTGGCTTGAATATGTGGGAAGTGCTGCATTCTCTGAGATAAGACAGAAGAATAGTATTGGGAGTAGGGGAAGAATAAAAATTGTTTTGGATGTGATCAAGTAGAGGGGAAATTGCTAGATAATGAAGATAGGAGGGATAACTGCAAAGGAACTATCACTAAGAAGGTGAGCAAGAAAAGGTCCCTGAGCATGAGCATGAGTTATTAAAAAGATCAAAAACTTAACATTTGATGTTTTGGCTGTTTTTCATTTCTTTAGCATGCTTCTGAACATCACTGTCTATTTTTTTTCCCAAACTTAAACCATTTTTCTTTTACTAATTCCTCAAATGATTTATTAGACCCAATTTAATTTCTAGTAATTAAAATTTTCAAATTCAGTATTTCCTATCTGATGAAATTGTTTCAAGTATTTCTTAGTTCTTTTAACCTTGTATTTCCAAGCTACTAAATAACCCCAAAGACACCATTTTACTTTGCTATGCTTGCTCAGAATCCTGGCTCAACAATTCTATAATTATAGTACATATAGCTCAGATTTTAGTTACTGATGTTATGCTTTTCTTAAGTAGAGTTGGAAGACAGATATCCCTACCACATAGCTTTTAACAAACTAAACTTTCCTTAAAATGACTGCTAAGGGCCAGGTGCGGTGGTTCATGTATAATTCCAGCACTTTGCAAGGTGGAGTGGGTTAGGGGGAGGGGTAGGGACAGCCTGAGCCTAGGAGTTCGAGGTTACAGTGAGCTATGATGGTGCCACTGCACTCCAGGCTGGGTGACACAGCGAGAGTCTATCTCTAATTAAATAATTACATGAGTGCTACAAAGACAAAATGAGAAGCAGCTTTATGATACTGCTTTATGTTACAGCTTTATGTTAAGGTTTAGTCACCTAAACTTTTGCAACTCTGGCAGTTATTAACCATCCCACTATATCAAATGCTACAAACTTTAATGATATACTAGTTTTGAAAAATCGATAGAACTGATGCACTGGTTATTAAGCAAACGATCTTTGGGTATACTAGTCATTGAGCTAATTGTCTTGTTCCTGTAACAGGAGATAAGGCAGCAAATGCAGATGCAGAATCAAGTTAGTATATTTAGTGGTGGAAAGATAAAGGAATTCCTGACTCACTGCTTCAATTTCTATGTTAAGTTTGAGACAAGATCATGTGCTATGAATGAAGGCTGAGAGTGAGCTGTAGGATGTTTGAGGAGAAAGAAGATATAAAATTGCCTTACAGTGAGAACGGGAACATCCTACCGAATGCTGAGTACTGGTATAGGGTCCCCTTCTGAGATGTGAAGTTATGCATGTGCAAACAAATCTGTCTACACTGTAGTGTTTAACTTCAGAAACATAAAGCTGCTTAAGTACAGGCACGCACCAAGCAAATGGTTTAACTAAGGTCAAAGCCTTTCCAGGCGACTAAAACAGAAGTGTAAGAGAGTTAAAGGTATTTGCAAAATTTTGATTAATTGTGAACCACTGAGTTTAAGGCTGGAAGGATGACAGACAGTATAAAGGTGAGGTTCATGAACTGAAAGTCCCAATGGAACCGAAGAGTTGTTGTCATGAGAATAACAGGGAAAGTCAGCTGTAAATTCAGAATGAGATGCTTGGAGACTGTTCGGCCAAAAGAAGGTTACAGGCATGACCACAGGAACAGATAGCATGACAGCAGGAATGGATGTCTGAGGTAAGATGAAGGAAAAGATTAAGAAATAAGGTGTCAAGTAACTGAGAAGAATTGGACAGATCATACACATGGATGCTAAAGTCAATGAGAATAAAGTCCTGAATACAAGTGGACAGGAAGACTGTGAATCAGGGTCAAATGGTGAATGAGTTACAGAATGACCAAGAGATCATTAAATGTCAGAAACAAGGAGGGATCAGCATATCAGCAGGTCTGAAGGCAAAAACTGCAAATGGAAGATAAATAGCTAGGAAGCTGCAATACAGAACAAGGAAGACATGTACTCCATTCAAAGTACATGCAACACTGAAAGAAAGAGTAATTACTTCTGGGGGCTACAGGATAAAGAACGTCTTTAGGAAAGAGTCTGATTTAAATTAAGCAAGAGACAGGAAAGGAACCTTTCAGAGACTGAGAAAACACTGTATATGCTTACCCTCTGGGTAAACTAGAGGGTACCAAGGAAAAGTTTAAGAATGAGAACTTCTTTTGAGACCACCCACAGCAATACAATGAGATGTCTCTACAAAAAATAAAAATAAAAGAATAGCCAGGCCTGGTGGCACATGTCTGTGGTTCCAGCTACTTGGAAGGCTGAGGGAGGAGGATCCTTTAAGCCCAGGAGTTTGAGGCTGCACGGAACTATGACAGCACCACTGCACTCTAGACTGGGTAACAAAGCAAGACCCCATCTCAAAAAAAAACGAGAACCTCCAGTTAAGGAACTCTGAAATTTGTGCTATTAAAGGCTCTCTTCTACAGTAATTTTTTTTTTTAAGAGATGGGGGGTAGGTCTTGGCATGTTGCCCAGGCTGACCTCAGATTCCTGGGCTCAAGTGATCCTTCCACCTCAGCCTCCCGAGTAGCTGGTACTACAGCACACACCACCACTCCTGGCTCTCAAGAGTAATTCTGATCAAAATCCTAAAACAACTTCAAGTTTTATTTTTGGTCACTATTTTTTATACATCACGCACAATGTATCCCCCAAACAGTCTTAAGATAAAGTTCACATACAAGTGCTTACCTCTATTTCTGTAATTTTTTCAGAAGGATTATCAATTAGGAAACGTGCTAAAGTCCCAGGAGTAGTTCTGTAAGTTAGAATGATTGAGTTTTTAGGATCCTGACACCACTGAATAAAGAGATCCCTTGAAAATCCACATTCCAGGTCAGGTTGGCTGGCAAGTACAACTTTAGGGCTAGGTACTCGGGCCAAGTCAGAAAGACCATGACATAAAGAGAGATGGCGAAACTGAAATGGATTATTTCTTTTGTCTTCAAAACATCTCATCAATTTATCACTCATCCATTCTACCTAATGTGGGGGGAAAGATGACAAGAATTAGAAATCCTATAACTTCAATATATTCTCTAATAGTCAAGGAGTCCAAGTTCTATCTTTTACCCCCACTGGTTGCTTAAATTTGTAATGTTTTGACAAGCAGCTTATTTTCTGCTTCCATTTCCCATTAGATTATCCCACCCTAGTTTTCATCCCAAAAAAACCCAATTTTGCATTATATTTCACGTATAAATCATCTTAAATCTTTTTGAAAAGGCAAGGTATATGTTCTAAATGAAAATCTTACTCCCAGAGATTGCTATTTCAAGGCAAAAAGCTTATTTAAAAGAAAGAACAATGAATTCTAACATGTATATGCTATGAGGTAGGTTCTATTTTTGTTCCCATTTTACAGACTGGGATACTGAAGAGTTAGAAGAGAAGCAATTTGCCTAATCTTTAAAACAGGGATAAAAGGGAAACTACTTAGTAGAATAAATACAAATTAAATGAAATAATACATTTAAAGCACACAGAACAGTAAATGGTTAATGGCAAGTTATCATCATTACTAACAATCTCTTCAAGGGAAAAATAAAATCCAAAAAACAATGAAGACACCCACTTCCACAGACCCAATCACTGTAGCAAACTTCTTTATTACAAGTGACAACATGAGAACAAACCTGGGATTTAGAAAACTCTACCACATTGTAACTGACATTATTTAGGAGTGCCAATGAGTAAACACCCAGTCCTGCATCTTTAGTCCTCCAAATCTGATCAAGAAGTTGAGCAAGTTCCAAAACTCTGCCTGCTGTGTCCACTGCTATTAACACATTTCCATCACCTCGAAGTGTTTCCAGGACATTTGCTAGAAAACAAGAATGTAAAATCCCTATAGAACATAACAATACTATGCTACAAAATTACAGATAATTTTCTCTCTCTGTTTTTATTAGAAAGACTGTAATTTACAAATAAGCAACTACTAGGCCAGGTACAAAATAAGGAATTTTGTTCAGGTCATTACAACTGCTTTTGATTCTGTTGACTATCTCTTCAGAAATTCAGTGTCATTAACTCTCAATCTTTTTTCATTGAAAAATTATAAATCAGTAGTCCTCAACACTCTATACATTATAATACACATGGAAAATGGTGTGTGTATTACTGAGAAAATTGTTTGGCTAGGCCAAATGTAACCAGCCTGGTGTTTCTGGGCTACCCCGGTCTCGCCTATCCACCCCAATGAACTTTGTCCCAAATTTATGTACATACATATATATACACTCGCACAATTATATATACAGCCATCCCTCAGTATCCATGGGTACTGGCTCCAGGACCCCCACGAATACCAAAACCATCAGATGCCCCAAGTCCCTCATATAAAATGGTGGCCAGGCGCAATGGCTCACACCTGTAATCCCAGCACTTTGGGAGGTCAAGGCAGGAGGATGGCTTGAGTCCAGGAGTTCAAGACCAGCCTGGACAACATAGGGAGATCACATCTCTATAAAAATATAAAAATTAGCTGGGCATGGTGGCACACGCCTGTGGTCTTAGCTATGTGGGAAGCTAGAGGGAGGTGCTTGAGCCCAGGAGTTTGAGGCTGCAGAGAGTCGTGAATGTGCCACTACACTCCAGCATGTACAATAGAGAAAGACTTTGTCTCAAAAAAAAAATATATCTGCATACAACCTACATACATCCTCCTATATACTTTAAATCATCTCTATTGCTTATAATACCTAATACAATGTAAATGTTATGTAAATGGTTGTTACACTGTATTTTTTTTACTTATATTTTTTAAATTATTGCATTATCTTCTTTTATTGTTTTTTCAAATATTTTCAATCCACAGTTCGTTGAATCCTCAGATGTGGAACAGCAGCTACAAAGGGCCAACTATGTATGACACATAGTTCGTATGCGTGTATGCCTATAGAATAAAATATAGATCATATTCCCTCTCAACAAGTGTATCTTTATGGATTTCCTTGCTCTAGATGAAAGTCCCCTTGGAAATATGTCGTAAAACTGAACTCTAGCAAAAATAAGAATTAAAGAGCTGCTCCTTTTTCTGTTTTTTAGTTTGTTTGTGTGTTGAGACAGAGTCTCACTCTGTCACCCAGGCTGGAGTGCAGTGGTGTGGTCATAGCTCACTGCAGCCTCAACCTCCTGGCCTCAAGCAATCCTCCCACCCCAGCCTCCCAAGCAGCTGGAACTACGGGCCTGTACCACCATGCCTGGCAAAAAAATTTTTTTTTTTTGTAGAGATGGGGGTCTTGGCCGGGCATGGTGGCCCACACCTATAATCCCCAGCACTTTGGGAGGCCAAGGCAAGCAGATCACGAGATCAAGAGATCGAGACCATCCTGGCCAACATGGTGAAATCCCGTCTCTACTAAAAATACAAAAAATTAGCCGGGCGTGGTTGCGCACACCTGTAATCCTAGCTACTCGGGAGGCTGAGGCAGAAGAATCGCTTGAACCCAGGAGGCAGAGGTTGCAATGAGCCAAGATCGCGCCACTGCACTCCAGCCTGGTGACAGAGCAAGACTACATCTCAAAAAAAAAAAGGCCAGGCGCAGTGGCTCACTCCTGTAATTCCAGCACTTTGGGAGGCCGAGGAGGGCAGATCACAAGGTCAGGAGATCAAAACCATCCTGGCTAACATGGTGAAACCCCGTCTCTACTAAAAAATACAAAAAATTAGCTGGACGTGGTGGCAGGTGCCTGTAGTCCCAGCTACTCTGGAGGCTGACGCATGAGAATGGCGTGAACCCAGGAAGCAGAGCTTGCAGTGAACCAAGATCACACCACTGCACTCCAGCCTGGCGACACAGCGAGACTCTGTCTCAAAAAAAAAAAAAAAAAAAAAAAGAGATGAGGTCTCACTGTGTTACCCAGGCTGGTCTTGAACTCCTAGCTTCAAGCCATCCTCTTGCCTCAGCCTCCCAAAGTGTTGACCATTGACCACAATGTCAGGCATGAACCACAGTGTCTGGCTTGAGCTTCCTAAAATTGGTGCAACACAATATATTATTAATAGTTATACTTTTAAAGTAGATGAACTAAAAACAATGGTTGAAAACATGTTTAAAAATGGAATCCAATTTTCCCTGCTGAAATCCCATATAGTTTATTTAAAAAGAATATAAGGCCGGGTGCAGCAGCTTACACCTGTAATCCCAACACTTTGGGAGGCTGAGGTGGGAGGATCACCTGAGGTCAGGAGTTCAAGACCAGCCTGGCTAACATGACAAAACCCCAGCTCCACTAAAAATACAAAAATTAGCTGGGCATGGTGGCACATGCCTGTAATCCCAGCTACTCTGGAAGCTGAGGCAGAAGAATCACTTCAACCCAGGAGGCAGAGGTTGCAGTGAGCCGAGTGTGCCACTGCACTTCATCCTGGGTGACAGAGCAAGACACCACCTCAGGAAAAAAAACAAAAACAACAACAAAAAAAAACAATGTAAGATGAAGCAAGCAGCAATGGCCTACTATATTAGAGTGTAAAACACCCAAAATTAGTGGACTCTTTGTGCCCTCATTTATCCACTTAGCTCTTTGTTCATTTTTCTTCTAGAGTATATTTTTCTAATAGATTTGTATGAGGTCTTTATATATAGACATATGCCAGTGAGTGCCAGGGATAGCTAGCTATGTACTGACTGGCAAAAAGAAGCCAATCTTTACACTCTTCCACAAAAGTTAAATTCAAACCAGCTAAGTTTCTTCTTATACAAAAACTGATGGTCACATAATATTTTTTTCAAAAATACTAAAGTTAACCAATCTCTTATGACCAAGAAAAGTGTTAAACAAAATACAGTCATTCCCACTATCAAGCATTTCCACGGCTACTCAAAAAGGACATTATACATTGGGTACAACATTCACGATTCTGGGGACAGATACAGTAAAAGGCTAGATTTCAGCACTGTGCAATATATGCGTTAAGAAACCTGTACTTGTGGCCAGGCGCGGTGGCTCATGCCTGTCATCCCAGCACTTTGGGAGGCCAAGGCACGTGGATCACCTGAGGTCAGAGGTTTGAGACCAGCCTGGCCAACATGGAGAAACCTTGTCTCCACTAAAAATACAAAAATTAGCTGGGCATGGTGGTGTAAACCTGTAATCCCAGCTACTCAGGAGGCTGAGGCACGAGAATCACTTGAACCCGGGAGGCGGAAGTTGCAGTGAGCCGAGATCGTACCACTTTATTCCAGCCTGGGTAAAAGAGTGAAAGTCTGTCTCAAAAAAAAATGAAAAAAAACAAAGAAACCTGTACTTATATTCCCTAAATATACAAAAAGTTACAAAATAATAATAAGGACATGAAAGAATACGTACTCAGAAGCTGCTCATCTCTCTGTTTTCTTCTAGGCTGTACATATGTAGCATTGAATGAATCTGTGATAAGTAAGGAAGGCCTGCTTAGCATTTCCAGGGAACATCCATTTAAATGGCTATAAGAAATTTTAAGAAGAGGAATATTTTATATCATTTCAAGTAAACAATAATAGCTTCTCTTACTTAAAAAATAAGCAGCTTCATTTATAAGGTGTTCCCTCTTCTAACTATAAAAGTAGACACGCTCATTGATAAGAAATCTAGTAACTTCAAGCAAGTATAAAGAAGAAAATAAAAATATTTCACAGTACCATTACTCAGAGATAACTGACATAATATTTTGGTGTACATCCTTCTAATCATGTAAGTTCTTCTATGCACACATTTTTTTTTTCTTTTCACCCTGTCTTAGGGTACTGATATACACATGTATTTTTCAAAGCTGATATCCCATATACATTCCTATATACTCAGTTCTATATCCTGGTTTTTACTCATGACATAAACTTTTTTTGTAAACTAAATGTTTAACAGTTATAAAAACATTTTATTGTGTCTACACTGTATTTGATCCCTTCCCTTTACTGATATTTAGGTCATTTATTTTTGCCATAATAATCTTTCAAAGAACATTTTTACAAAAGCTTCAATTGCATTTCTGATTGTTTCTTTAGGTCACATTCCTAGAAATGTATTTACTGTAATATATAGAACTGCTAAAAGGCTTTCCAGAAAGATTTAACATTACCCAGAAAAGTTCAACCAAAAAGACTGACCAATTCTACATACTTCCCAGAAGAAAATCACCATTTAAAAATAATTTTTGACTACTGCAGTGGCTCACACCTGTAATCCCAACACTTTGGGAGACAGAGGTGGGCAGATCACTTGAGCCCAGTAGTTCAAGACTAGGCTGGGCAACATGGCAAAACCTCATCTCTACTAAAAATACAAAAATAGCCAGGCATGTTAGAGCGCACCTGTAGTCCCAGCTACTTTGGAGGCTAAAATGGGAGGATCACTTGAAGCTGGGAGGTTCAGACTACAGTGAGCCGTGATCGCACCACTTGCCTCCAGCCTTGGTGACAGAGTGAGACTCTGTCTCAAAAAAATACATAAAAATATAAATAAGAATAATAATTTTAACGGTGTATAACAAAAAAAATCATTTAAATTTTCTCTTTTTTGACTTTATAACTTTTGTCCATTTTGCAACTGGTATATTTTTATTAATAAATTAATACTTGATCTTATATATATTTTGCAAGTTTTTGGGCAACTTGCTGCAAATATTTTCCTACTTTGATTTTTTTTTTATTCGTTGTTTCAGACATTTGAACCTGTATGTCATCAAATCTATCAAACTTTTCTTTTGTAACTTGGTTCATTATTTTTATGCTTACAAAGTCTTTTCCAATTCAGAGATCAGACTCACCAATATTGCTTCATTTCTATTTAGTTCTAATCCATCTGAAATTTCTTTTGTTATATAATTAAAACGACACAAATTGATTTTTTTCCAAAATGGTTGAATCCTTCAATACCATTTACTCAAATAGCCACGCCACAGTTTGCCATGGTTACTACGAGACTGAACGAAGGAGGACGAACGCAGAAATGAAAACTTAAAACAAAAGTAACTACTTTAAAGGAAGGGACCAGGAAAGAAGAGAGCTTCCTGTTTCTAGTGAGCAAAGGCAGCCGCCTTAAGCTTCCACAGCCCTTCATATTTATTGGGTAGAAAGACCAGGGAGGAGGAGGTAACGATTGGTCAGCTGCTTAATTGATCACAGGTTCACATTACTGCTAACAGGCTTCAGATGTACCTAGTTACAAGCAACACTTGCACTTGAGGCATGAGTGCCCTCAGCATTCCTTCTGGGTGGCAAACACAGTTTGTCAGTTTGCCAACATTCTGCATTTATGAGAACAGTTTGCTGTTTACTCATATAGCCTCCAGTGGTATACTGAGTTATCACGACCCTCACTCTTTCAGCCTGCAACATAACCATCCTTTCCTCATTAATCTATGGTTATAAGCGTCTAAAATTCAGTCTATTTGTGTTAAATATTTCTTAATATAAAGATTCTGAGACTACTGTAATGTAACACAAAATAGCTATGAACTTAATGTACAGATAAAACAAAACAAGCCTGTAAGAGACTAAACACCAAAATATTGTATAGTAATGCTCTGAGTGCCACACGAAGTGTGTAAAATCATAACTAGCATTGAGTTCCCTTTCAAAGGGACTAACTTTAAACATTCAGGGCAGTTATATTAGATGGTAATTACATTATGTGCAGGGCAACTCCCGTTTTTAAAACCAGCAGATCTCGTGAAACCCATTCACTATCACAAGAACAGCATGGGAAAGACCCGCCCCCATAATTCAATCATCTCCCACTGGGTCCCACCCACAACACGTGGGAATTATGGGAGCGACAAGATGAGATTTGGGTGGGGACACAGAGCCAAACCATATCACATTACAAAACAAAAGAACAACCCATCCACAAAGTTTTGTTAAATAGCAGGTCGAGAACCTGCTATTATTTACATAATTTCATATTTAAAATTCATCTCCTTTGCAACATCTCCAGGGAGGTATCTGTTTTGTAGAGTGTATACTTAACGTGTAAATTTTTAAAATCTCTTATGTCTTATACCATACTTTTCCCCCTTACTATGCAAATAATTAATTTTGAAAACATTCCTCTTTGATGCTTTTAAGTTGCCCTAAATTTCTGGTAACCAAAACAAAAACTGTGTTTCTTATTTTCCCTTCAAAGAATAAAATAATTCCAATTGCATTTGCTTTAGCTTTTGTCTTGATATACCTACATCTCCCTCTTGTGGTTGAAGTCAACTGCATAAACAATTTCTTCTTCTCCATCTTTGACTATTTTCCATATTGTTCCACCTATCATATGACCAGCTGGCAGAGGTGTGATAGACAGGCCATGTCCTTTACCTATGTCAACAACGTAACAATACTCAGATTTCTTTTACAACCCTAAAGAAAGGTTATTTATTTCTAAATGATAATATTTTAATAGGTAATACTGTATATGTAATAACACAAAATTCAAAAGTGAAAATGCATATAGTGAAAGCAGGCTTCATTCTCCTATCTCCCAGCTACTCCACTCCCTCACTGGAGGCAAACATTCTTGTTACTTTATTATGTATTCTTGTAGAGATATTTGTGCTTATAAGTACAAGGCTAGAGATTAGATTTAAAAGCTAGTACACTATTAAATTATTTAGTATGAACTAGCAAATTTTAATGTGTATTTTATATATACAATTATCAAATGTTTCCATTTTTGCTAACCTCTAAACTAACAGAATAATTTAAATCTCATTGTGCTAAAGAATTTATCCTACAGAAAAACTAACTAGAAGCAAAACTGTTGAGACTATTGTTATTTCTGGGCTAAATCTTCAGTCCATTATTGCACTATTTTATCAATGCCAGGGTTCATTTCTATGAAAATATCTAATACAATTCTCTCTGTAGATGATAAATATAGACTTAATATAGGACTTCCTGACCTAATTCAATAATAAACTTTTTAATGTCCAATGCTAGAATTCATTATCTACTCTGCTGCCATAGCACTTCATTTACCCCAATCACTACATTTAGCCATCTCAGCTACTTTGTCGCCTCAATCTAACTGTAAGCTCTGAGGAGGAGGAAATGGCCAAATTATCTTTTGTTTATTATACACGGTAAACACTAAATGAGTCTTTCCCAAGTTAAATTTGAAAAAGCCTGAGCTATTAACATTTTGTTGGCATTTATTCTGAAATATTTTAAAATTCAAATGGAAGTTAAGAGTTCTATATCAAGGCAGAACGTGCTAATTTTTTTATTCTTCAGACCATAATGCCTATAATTTTCTTTCTGAATTCTCCTCAGTATTTTCTAGCAAGTTAAACCCCATTCGTCTAAGTACTTACTACTGGAAATTCTTTTTACCTTTCAAATTCACAATCTGAGAGAATTTTAGCTGCTGTATTTTATCAAAGGCTGCATCCACATCATCTAATGTAAAGAGTGTAAAATCTTCCGTATTGTGTCGAGACTAAAAGAATAACACAAATAAAGGTGAAAAACTATCACTGAAGGAGTGCTAACAAAATTTTTTTAATTGCTTAAATTACCTGATAAAGATCATACATGAACATCTGTCCCATTTTATAAACAGGAATGGTTGCATAGATAGCACAGTTCAGACCCAACTTTCCGACAGCATATGGGAGGGCACCAAGGTGGAGAGGATCAGGGTGAGACAACAGTACTGCATCAATCTGGTGAACGTGCCTACAAGAACACAATCCAAAGGACGACTACTTGAATCTTTTCAAAGGGTAAAGACAGAATATTCAAAATTATTCCCCAATTCTGGAATTCTGGATTGAAGACTATGCTGGGGCAGAAGAGCAAAACTAAGAGCTAAAATTATGATTACCTATGAATTTCAATTATTACTACCTGTGCTCTGCATAGCTATAAAAAATGTAGTATAAGGTATACTTAAATATATGGTATGTAGACACATTTTAAATAGAAAAGAAGGCCAGGTGTGATGGTGCACACCTGTGATCCCAGCACTTAGGGAGGCCAAGGCAGGCAAATCATTTGAGCTCAGGAGTTCAAGATTAGCCTGGGCAACATGGCAAAACATGTCTATAAAAAATACAAAAAAAAAAAAAAAAGCCAGGTGTGGTGGCATGAGCCTGTAGTCCCAGCTACTTGGGGGGCAGAGGTGGGAGGATCACTTGAGCACAGGAGGTTGAGCTTGATGGTATCACGCCACCGCACTCCAGTCTGAGTGACAGAGTGAGACCCTGCCTAAAAATAAAAACAAGAACAAAAATGAAAAAGAACAGTAGACACCACAAATAAGTTGATATTTTTTAAGATGGAGTTTCGCTCTTGTTGCCCAGGCTGGAGTGCAATGGCGCGACCTCCAGCTCATCACAACCTCTGCCTCCTGGGTTCAAGCGATTCTCCTGCCTCAGCCTCCCGAGTAGCTGGGATTACAGGCATGTGCCACCACACCCAGTTTATTTTGTATCTTTGGTAGAGATGGGGTTTCTCTATGTTGGTCAGGGTGGTCTCGAACTCCCAACCTCAGGTGATCTGCCCGCCTCAGCCTCCTAAAGTGCTGGGATTACAGGGGTGAGCCACCATGCCTGGCCGTAAATTGATTTTTAACAGCTATCCTGCATGATATTTTTTTTTTTTGGAGATGTAGTCTCGCTCTGTTGCCCAGGCTGGAGTGCACTGGCGCGACCTCAGCTGCTCAGTTCAAGTGATTCTCCTGCCTCAGCCTCTGGAGTAGCTGGGATTGCAGGTGTCCACCACCATGCCTGGCTAATTTTTGTATTTTTAGTAAAGACAGGCTTTCACCATGTTGGCCAGGCTGGTCTTAAACTCCTGACCTTAGGTGATCCGCCCTTCTTTACCTCCCAAAGTGCTGGGATTGCAAGCATGAGCCACCGCACCCAGGTTCACTTAACACTTCTTTTTTTTTTTTTTTTTTTCCTGAGATGGAGCTTCACTCTTGTTGCCCAGGCTCTAGTGCAATGGTGCAATCTTGGCTTACTGCAACCTCCGCTTCCCAGGTTCAAGTGATTCTCCTGCCTCAGCCTCCTGAGTAGCTGGGATTACAGGCATGCGCCACCATGCCCAGCTAATTTTTGTAATTTTACTAGAGATGGGGTTTCACCATGTTGGTCAGGCTGGTCTCGAACTCCTGACCTCAAGTGATCCACCCGCCTCAGCCTCCCAAAGTGCTAGGATGACAGGCGTGAGCCACTGCGCCCAGTTGCAGACTATTAAGTTCAAGAACTCAGCTTAGAATTTCAGAAATTATTATTGGCTGGGCATGGTGGCTCATGGCTATAATCCCAGCACTCTAGGAGGCCGAAGTGGGCGGATTACCTGAGGTCGTGAGTACGGGACCAGTCTGGCTAACATGGTGAAGCCCTGTTTCTACTAAAAATACAAAAAATTAGCCTGGCGGGTGGTGCATGCCTATAATCTCAGCTACTTGGGAGGCTGAGACAGGAGAATCACTTGAACCCTGGAGGTGGAAGTTGCAGTGAGCCGAAAGCATGCCATTGCACTCCAGCTTGGGTAACAGGAAGGAGCAAAACTCCATCTCAAAAAAAAGAGAAGAATTTCAGAAATTATTAAGGAGAGGATATTTATATGACCACACAGTTATAATGGATTTTTATCCCAGCGTTTTCGCACAGTAACCACAAACAGTTTTGCTAATTGAATAGTAAAACTTCAATTAATCAGGGAAGCATATGTTCTCATTGACACAATAAATTAATAAAATGGTTTGGATTTTTTTTTCAAGTTCTAAGGTTTTTTAAATATTTAAGTCCTCTTTTCTTGCAAAATTGGTATAATACTGTAAACATAATTGATTTTTTTTTTTGAGACAGAGTTTTGCTCTGTCGCCCAGGCTGGAGTGTAATGGTATGATCTAGGCTTAGTACAATCTCTGCCTCCTGGGTTCAAGCAATTCTCCTTCCTCAGCCTTCCAAGTAGCTGGGACTACAGGTGCACACCACCATACCCGGCTAATTTTTGTATTTTTAGTAGAGTCGGGGTTTCACCATGTTGGCCAGGCTGGTCTCGAACTCCTGAACTCAAGTGATCCGCCCACCTCAGCCTCCTAAAATGCTGGGATTACCGGCGCGAGCCACCATGCCCAGCCCATAAATGATTTTTTTTTTGGATGAATCAGTATCTCATGGTCATTCTGAGAACCAGTTCACAATGTTTAGCATCAAAAGATGTAGAAAAGTAAGCTAATGTGATCTGACCACAGAACTTTCAAGTGGAAAATGTTTCCTCTTCTCAAATTCTTATGTATTCTTGTTCTTTCCAAAAATTAGCATGCAAAAATTTCTACTGAAATTCATTAGCTTAAGATTTTGCTGAATTTCAACAAGTAAAGCCTATAAGTCAATCAAAACTCTACAAGTTAAAATGGTCACTATAGGTTTTTGGCATAAGCAAAATTAAGCCTTTTGCTATAAACTAGTGTAAAAAGGCAATATTTATTACATTGAAATGGTATTACAGTACAGAAAAGAGAAGTTGATTTAATAAAAACCTAGAATTATGAAATGTAACTTACTTCCTCAGGGAATCTATAATATCCATAGAAAAGTGCTCATCCCAGCCACAGTCCAATAAAAATCTAAACTCATCAACTTGGAGAAGATAGCAAAGGGCAGATTCTTCTTGGACCCCAGAAAGGGTAGTTAACTTGATAATAGACGTCATTTTTTTTTGGTCCAGAAACAGCAAGCTAGAAGGGTCTTTCAAATGAAATGAAAACATAAATAAACATAAAAGCACCATCTGGCATATATAATAGACAAATTGATTAAAATTAGTTCAAATATTTAAGTTCATAGAAATTCCATTAACACAAAAAGCAGTTTAAAGGCCCATTTCCCATCACTGCCAAGTTTACTTATTTTTTAAGTGAAAGCAAGTTTATTAAGTCACTGCCAAGTTTAAAAGCACAAACATAATCTTGGACACAATGAGCCCTTTAGTGGCTCCCTAGTGGGGTCATGAACGTTGCAATCAAATAGACCCATATATGAATCTACTATGTGATTTGAAGCAAGTTAATTAAACTTTCCTCACCTGTGTATCTCAGTCTATAAAACATTAGTATTAACAGATATGTAAAAAGGATGAAGTATTTCAAATAATGTATAAATTACTTACAACAGATACTACTGCATCCAAGTTCCTCAATAAATAAATGTTTAGGAATTAATGAACTCATCCTTCAAGGTGAATCTGTTCGTCTTTTATCGTGCTTTGTGATGGCACTGATTTCACTGTATTACAATGATTAGTTTATGTGTCTTTCTCTCCTACTAATTAGACCAGTGGTCCTTAAATAGACCCCCTTGAGAATCTGATAAAAACCTATGGGCCCTCCCCTCTCCCCCACCAACTCTCAACACAACCAAACAAAAAACAAGAGTACCTATACACACAGAAATTCACAAACTTTTCAGGGAGTTTAACATTAAGAACCCTTGCATTGGAACGTGAGCAACAGAAAAACACAGGTGGCATATGTTTGCAACTCCTAAATAGAACCTGATGCACGCTCAACATATATCTGATGGAATGCAAATTGGGATGCCTACTACATATATTTCAGGAAAATATAACATGAACACATCTATAGGCCAGGCATGGTGGCTCATGCCTGTGATCCCAGCACTTTGGGAGGCCGAGGCAGGAAGACTGCTAGAGTTCAGGAGTTTGAGACCAGCCTGGGCAATGTAGTGAGACCCTGTCTCTACAAAAATAAAAAATAAAAATACTGGCTGGTGGCATGTACCTGTAGTCCTAGCTACTCAGAAGGCCAAGATGAGAGAATTGATTGAGCCCAGGAGTTTGAGGTTACTGTGAGCTATGAGTGTGCCACTGGACTGGGCACAGAGTGAAACCCTAGAGTGTACCCTAGACTGGGCAACAGAGGGAGACTTTGTATCTAAAAAATAAATAAAATAAAATAAAATAAAATATATACTTTTTTAAAAAAATGGGATTTAGAACCTGGAACTGTGCTATTAAGCAGAAGTTATGAAAATATTCATTAACAAAGTTCAACCCCACAGCAACATTTCATATTTCAGCTCCCTAAAATAAATGAGCCTTTCCTGGCTAACTATGCAAATAGGAGAGAAGGCCACTGAATTACCTAATAATTTCTCACCACTACTCAAGGTCATCAACAAACTGAGGTAAACTGAAATCCACCTTTCACAAGAGGCTGACAGGGGCTGCTAAACCCACCACATCTCCCAGCTTTCCAAAATCACAAGACTGCTAGGTTATCAACTATCAATGATGCATACATCTCCCAGTAAGACCTAATCCCCTACCTCTTCTCCCTCTCAAATCCTTTCAGGATGCTCTCTGGAACTATGATTCTACTCACCTGTAACTGCAACTGCTTCTCTGAAAATTCTCTTCACCTGTTTGTCTTCCCAGGTACCTGGCTGTTCCCTAATCATACTCTTTCTCTTACAGCCTTCTCAAGGTTTTTTGTGGTTGTTGTTTTAACTTTTTGTACCCCCTGTACTTGAAAAGCAGGAGGTATGTGCTCCTTGCTCCTCACTGCAGCTTCTAAACCATGTCTTCTCCTTCCTCTTTCAAATATTCTAGTCCCATTAAAGCTCTTGCCACCCAGCAGTTCACTATTCGTCTTTCACATTTCCCCTTCACTATGGCATCCATTAACCTGGCCTCATTCACTGGGGACTTTTACATGACCCTTGTTCCTCTGAGTAACTTCAATACTGACCTGTTGGTTCCTTGACTTCCTCAACTCCAATAATCTTCATTTCACTTCAGCCACCCAGCATTACGATTACACCCTAAAACTTATCACTATCAGTAACTGTACTACTTTGAAAATTTCACCTTCAAGCATCTCACTCTCTAACACCTTACTGACTCTAGTATTCCCATTGCAAAAATCCTCTGTGCTCAGTGGTATCTCTCTAATTCGCTGGCTACTTTTTCCCTATCCACGACCCCCTCCTGTTTTCACTCAGGTCCTCACCTTCAATTCATGATCTGTTAAGATTATTTGCAAACACTCAAATGTCTTGCTCCTCTAGTCCTTCTCTCTACTAGGCTGGCAAAACCCCAGTCCTGATTCACTCCAATCATGCGGGGGGTTGCGGGGGATGGGATATGGAGGAGAATTACAGCTGTGCTATTTGGTTTTTTGTTTTTTTTTTGAGACTGAGTCTCACTCTGTCGCCAGGCTGGAGTGCAGTGTCACGATCTTGGCTCACTGCAACCTCCATCTCCCAGGTTCAAGTGATTCTCCTGCCTCAGCCTCCTGAGTAGCTGGGACTACAGGCATGCGCCACCACGCCCAGCTAATTTTTTTTTCAGTAGAGATGGTGTTTCACCATGTTGGCCAGATGGTCTCGATCTCTTGACCTCATGATCCACCCAGCCCATTTTTTTTCTTTTTTTTTTTGAGACAAAGTTTCACTCTTGTCGCCCAGGCTGGTGTACAGCGACAAGATCTCAGCTCACTGCAACCTCTGCCTCCTGGGTTCAAGTATTTCTCCTGCCTCAGCCTCCCGAGTAGCTGGGATTACAGGCACCTGCCACCATGCCCAGTTAATGCTATTTGCTCTTTAAATTCATGGCCAAAGGCCTCAAATAGGCCCTAAGTATTACCCTTCAATCTGACTTTTCTTAGTAGGTTGACTTTCAATTTCTGAGACGACTTCTCCACACCTCCTCCTCTTTGTTCAAAGATCACCCATCCCTCCCTCCACCCTAGTCTCAGCTGATAAAATTAGAGAGTAGTTTCTCATTTTCCAGATACTACATCTATTAGCCTATCTGCATGTACACTGTTGGGTCTCCTATTGTATAGAACAGTCCTGCTCCCACCCAAGGTCGGTCCCTCTATGTGCGCTGTTGATCCTATTTCTATTCACCTTCTGAAAGACTTGACATCTTCAGTCATTTGCTCTTTCCCCTGCATCAGTGTATCACTGATGGACCATTCCTGCAAGCTTATAAAAATACTCTAGAATTTCCCAACTTGTAAGAACCCTCTCTCAATCCTTCAACCCCCAACAACCACTGCATCATTTTTGGATTTCCCTTTCACAAAAAAACTTCTCAAAATATTTGTCCACAGATATATCTCCACTTCCTCACCTCCCATTTGCTCTAAGTCTCCACTTCCTCACCTCCCATTTGCACTAAGTCTCCACTTCCTCACCTCCCATTTGCACTAAGTCTGAGAAGCCAGAGAAATGTCCGTTGGCTTAAGTTGTACAGAGACTTATCAAGGACCTTTATAAAGTACTTCCAGGGATATACTTTCATAACAACTCATTATATTTCTCAAATTTTCTTCTCTCTTCACTGTGACCAAAACCTCTAACTTGTTTATATATTTTCCCTGTCTCTAATTTACTGAGTCATTCTCAGAGGTAGTCATTCTCTGACCCCACTGAAGCCCTTCTTCACGCCCATTACATCATCATTCTATTTCCCTCAAAATACTTAGTGCTAATTGCTACTTATTTATTTACTTGCTTTGTCTGTCACCTTCTCTCCTCCTGTGCCCACACTGGAATGTGGACTCCATGAAGGTAAAGACTTTCTCTGTTTTGATCAGAGTTACCAACGCCTCCACAGTGCCTAACATACAGTGGTAGCCGATGAATGTTTCTTAAATGAAGGAACTGGGCATGGCTAGTATTAAATAAGCTCACTTACCACACCATAAACCGGAACCCATCTACATATATTTGCCCTTGCTTAGGAGAGCTCTCTGAGTACAGGAGTTGGCTTGATCCATTTTTTTATCCTTAGTACATTAGCACATCCCTGCACAAAGTGGTTATTCAATAAATAACTGTTGGTAAGTTAAAATTTAAAATATATTGACTTGTTTTTGTTTCCTGAAACAGGATCTTGCTCTGGTACCCAGGCTGGAGTGCAGTGGTGCAATCATGGCTCATTTGCAGCCTCAACCTCCTGGGCTCAAGTGATCCTCCCACCTCAGCCTCCTGGGTAGCTGGGACTACAGGCACGCACCACCACACTCAGCTAATTTTTTGTAGAGACAGGGTTTTACTATGTTGTCCAGGCTGCTCTTTAAGTCCTGGGCTCAAGTGATTCACCCACCTTGGCCTCCCAAAATGCTGGAATTACAGGTGTGAGACAGCACACCTGGCCTTCATGTGTTCTTATTTGGGGTACAAAGACATTAATTCTCTATTTGATTAAAAATGTTTATAAATACAATTTTGGAAAGGACCTTGGAAACTATCCCTGCCAAAAAGCTTACTGTACCACAATTATAACAATGGCCTAAAGGAAATTCTTTTCTACTTAAGTCTTCCTTAATTCCCACTTTCTTCATTTAGATTATGAAGTAACATGCACGGTATCTTGCAGCTAGAACTGAGTACGTTCATATTAAAACTTTTTTTGCAGACAGACCAAGATTTCAACAGATGAAAAGATATTTTCACTACAATTATTCATAATAAAGCTATATCTTTATTAAACATTCACTACTTACTGATATCTCAGTCGTATATATGATGAAACACCAGGAATTCTGAAGAGTTCTTTATCAATCTAAAAAATAAATAAAAGCCTTATGAATGTAGTATTATGATTTCATTCTGTTTACAATTATGGTGTTTAATTTGTATCTTGCCCTAAGGCATCAGGAGCAGCACCAAGTAGTATAATATGTGGTCCTTTTATAAAAAAGAGATCTGTCATAATTTTAGGAAGCTTAAGCTTACATAAACAGATAATAAAAGACATAAAAATATTTAGGGGCCGGGCGCGGTGGCTCACGCCTGTAATCCCAGCACTTTGGGAGGCTGAGGCGGGTGGATCATGAGGTCAGGAGATCGAGACCATCCTGGCTGACACGGTGAAACCCCATCTCTAATTAAAAAAAATATCAAAAATTAGCCAGGC